TGTGGCATTTATACACAATGGAGTATTACTCTGCATTAAAAAATGACAAAATCATAGAATTTGCAGGGAAATGGATGGCATTAGAGCAGATTATTCTAAGTGAAGCTACCCAATCCCTAAAAATCAAATGTCAAATGTCTTCTTTGATATAAGGAGAGTAACTAAGACAAGAGTAGGGATGTAGAGCATGAAAAGAATATTAACATTAAACAGGGATGAGAGGTGGGAGGGAAAAGGAGAGAGAAGGGAAATTGCACGGAAATGGAAAGAGACCCTCGGGGTAATACAAAATTACATACAAGAGGAAGTGAAGGGAAAGGGAAAAAATACAAGAGGGAGAAATGAATTACAGTAGAGGGGATAGAGAGAGAAGAGGGGAGCGAGGGGAGGGGAGGGGGAATAGTAGAGGATAGGAAAGGCAGCAGAATACAACAGACACTAGTATGGCAATATGTAAATCAATGGATGTGTAACCTATGTGATTCTGCAATCTGTATGTGGGGTAAAAATGGGATTTCATAACCCACTTGAATCAAAGTGTGAAATATGATATATCAAGAACTATGTAATGTTTTGAACAACCAACAATAAAAATCAAAAATAAAATAAAATGAAAAGAAAAAAAAATCTTAGGAGGTAAACATGGGAACTGTTGGCCCACAATATCTACCACTCATTTCTATACTGCATTAGGTTCTGGCAAACATTTTCAGGAATTATTGTAGTTAAATAACTTTGAAGGACTAGTAAATGATCCATTTGGTTGGCCTCCAGCAACATGGAGGATGCTTTGCACAGGATGAGGACAACAGCTTCATTCCTCTCCATCGAATGCAGGTCTCCTATTCAGCTGGCTGAGGAACCCAGTTCCCTTGAGGATTGACAACATAAATACCATAAATACAAGTAACTCTTCCATAAGTTTCTCTGTTAATGTTTGATAAGGAATAATGAATAAACAATTGCACATTGTGCAAAAATTCATAATTTATATGTTTATGTTCAGTTTGGGTAATTTTGTATTCCTTAGGAGCACAGTCTGGATAGAATGGAGTTATGGTTCATGAGAAGAAAGGGACTGAGAGTGGGAAAACACATGGAGATAAGGGCATTGATGTTCACCAGTCACCAACTGGGATTAAAATAAAGGGTTACACAAACATTTAATAAGGAGGAAAGGGTATAGAATATCACAAAGGTGCCCACCAGGACAAGGATTCTCTGAGTGGCTCTGGACTCAGGGCGGGATCTGGGAAAAAGTTTGATGCTGTGAATGTGCTGAATCCTCTGTTTGTGCCTGTACAGAAGGAGAACCATGGAGCCACTGGACCAGATCATGAGCAAGGAAAAGACAACTTCAGGAAATACAAAGAATGCTGCATATAATGAGTCTGTGGTTTTGTCATGACCTGCAGAAGAACAGTACCCAAAATCTCTTTTCTCTGTCAGGTTTTCACTACTCCATTTGCTAAGCACATAGAGAGGAAAAATGGAATTCACCACCATGTACAGGATCCAGCAGAGGGAAATGGAGAAGCCAATGTACTTGGGAGCTCTTCCTTTGAGATCCTTCCAATAGGAGTTCATGGGACTGATGGTGATGTTCTGGAAGACGCTCAAGAGGCAGGTGATGAAAATGGACACACTCCTGCCCACTCGCTGAAGGTACAAAATAAGTTTGCATACAAAATCACTGAAGAAGTATTTCAACCCCAAAGCTGTGATTGTACTGGGAACTCCATTAGAGAGAATGATGAGGCAGTTGGCTACACTCAGGTGCTTAAGGATCAGATCAGTGGACCTTAATGTGCACTCTTTGCAGGAAAGGACTAGATAGTAATAAAGCTGAGAGAAATTTCCCAGAATTCCAACAATGATCTGTGATAAGAACATCAGTCCCATGGCCATATTCCCAGAGGCCATTCTGTCATTCAGCACATTGTCCTTTACATCATGGTAACAGTCATGCCTCTGAGCAAAATAGTTCATTAAAACTTTTTGTAGCCAGAACATTGGTGTGTAACTGTAGCCTCCTGATCCTTGGGTGGCTGAGGCAGGACCATTGTTCCAGTCAGAGTTTGAGATTGGTCTAGAAAACACAGTGACATCCATCACAGAATATTATGCATATTTTACACCAAGAGTAACTTTCCTTGTGTGCACCTGTGGGATTGCAAAGATATCAGGATGCACATACAGATGGGGGGAATTCCCAGATTTTTCATGGACTTAGCATGAGAAATAACGTGGTGATAACCTGGGAGAAGCAATGAGAAGTGATAGCAGTGGACAGAAAGCATGATTCAACATTTACAGAATAAACCAATGTTTGCTAGTCACATTGAAGAACAGGCAAATCCAATCCCCATCCACATCATAGGAAGAATAAGTTCTCAAAGTATTTTTGATATAAATTTTAAAGAAAATGGTACTTCATGATGCAAAAGAATATTTCTGTGGTCTTAGGTATAATGATATTTATTGAAGAGCATAAAATCTTAAAGCATATATATTTAAAACAACAAATTAGTTCACATTAATTACAAGCTTATACTCATCACTGCAATACTACACACCCTGTGAGAAGAGTCCAGTGGCAGTGACTTTACAGAATATACAATACAGTAAAATAGGAAACATATTCCAGCAAAACCTACAAGAGAAAAGACACTATTCAATGGATAAATATAAGTGGAATATGTTTGGTGACTCTCTTAAGACCACTCCCTGGTATCATCACACAAGAACAGAAAGTAGAATTAAAATGTCAAGAATACCAAGTTTTGACATTGTGAAAGTTAACTAGGAATCTCATAAAATGGCAATGCATGCTGAAGTGGGTACAGCTATTTTGCAAAAGTATTTGGTGGTTTCTAAGGTAGACTTATATCACCAACATGGCACCATTCCACTGGACTGTGTATTCCCCAGTCCAATTTCTATTTATAGCATAGAATACAAATTCCAGAATTTATGTCCCAGGAATGGTCATAATAGCTTCAACTTGAAGGCCACTCAGGTATATCAATTAACAGCAGAATGACTCAATCAATTGATTGATATTCACACAGTGGAATCCTATATAGCAATGTTATTGAATGCAGACACTACAGTCACAAAAATCACAAGGACTTAAAAGAAGGCAAAACATAAAATATTTCAGCTGTGTGAATTCATTTGATTACAGTATGATACAGGTAAAAGTCACTTCAACTTGGAAATGTTAGAACAGATTAAAAGCTCCCTTCCCACAATTCAACTCATACAAACAACCCAGGAGATATCTCATTGGGGGCTATTGGCTTAGGAGAGGCATAAAGGGTCTTCTGAGAATCGGACAATATTGTGTTCCTTGATATGTGTGTTGCACAGAGAAGTGTTTCATTTGTGAAATTCCACTGAGCTGTGCACTCATTACTCCTGTAAGTTGACTTTTTCCAAAAGTAAAATCACCAAAAAAAGTTACCTGCTAAAAGGTCATTCATTGGATGTACTTGACCTGCTGCAGGTGTCTGCACAGGGTGAAATATTCAGAGCCAGAGTCCAAGATGAGAACTCAAACAGGAATCACTGAGAATAACTGCAAAAATAATTTTGAGGTTTCTACTATCACATTTGACAACCAAATATACAGGTGAATTTACTATCACTGGTCTACAGACATGGTTAGAGAACCATTAAAAGCTCAATATATTGGGGGTCTCATTTTCTGTTCTGAGCACATAGATGACATTAAAAAAGAATGCCACAGTCCACATTATATATTTGTGAAAATCCAGGAAGAGACTACTTTTATAGTACAGAATTATAAAATTGTTCTCAGGAATTGATGAGATGATTAGACACTGGACAGAAAGATGCAACCCATGAACATATTGTGCAGAACTGTTAGGACACAAACAAAATGTGTTCTCACAATTTTGGGGTCCATGCTTCCACATAAAACCCCCATGTTCTTAGAGACAACTTTGGAGAGAATGACTGAGAAGTGGTCATCCTCACGTGTTTCAGAATCACATGGGCTCAGCCACATTAAGCACAGCTCTAAAAGGTTCATAGTGACGAAGATGGAAAATGCCCAGGATTCTAATTGCAGCCTGAGATGTGTGGGACATTCTTATTTTTATTTCCCTGGAGGGGACTCTGCCATTTTCTCCTAATAACTGCTATTTTTATTCTAAGCAGCAGAGTCTTGAACAGGAACAAGCCACACCAGCACATTTAACTATCAGTTGAAATCCAAAGTCCCACTGAAAAATGCATACTTAAGGTTTTGTTTTGAGGCTTCTCAGAGGAAAGTGTCTAAATAGTGCCTATAATTTGTTACCACCGTCACAATCCTGTACATATCATCCTGTCCTGAACTTTTATAAGTCCATAATAGGGACTCTGACATTATTTTTATTGTCAAAATAAGGAGATCTCAAACAGGTTATGAGAGTGCCTAAAGTCACAGGTGCTTAGTGAATGAGTGGAGATGTGAGAAACTTGAGTGTGGTTAGGCCAGGTGCAGAATCACCTAAGCTCTGTGCTACACTAGCATATTGTCACAATTAGCTGTGTTCTCAGCTAATCTAGATGAGGGCTCAGTTTGTTTTCATAACTTACCATTTATCGTAAATTGCTAGTTTCTCTTGGTATAGTTGATGTAACAACTTTATTGATCTAAAGTCTTGATTTGTAGGCCAATATGAATTACAAATGAAGCTTTACAGATCCTAAGAAAATGGTTTGCATTAATGAAAGTTAAGCCTCAGGAAACTGCTCTTTTGGATTCAAAATGCAAGACCCACTCAGTATTTAGGTTTGTAGTAGAAATATTAACTGGTTGTCATTCCAAGAGCAAAAGTATAGAGGAATGTATAAATAAATAATTGAATAACTTTACTTTGTCCTTAAATCGTGGCAATGAATTACTAGTATACTGTAGGATAGAGACTTACTTTCTCACTTACCAACACCTATAAAACCACTGATAATATACAAGGTTTTTTAAATACAATATAAGAAACTTTGAAATAGAATCTAGAGACTAGTGATCCCTGTGTTTGGTATGAATTGAAACACAAATAAATACATGTCATGTGTTTGGGATTAAGGCAAGAATATTAACAAACCAGAAGAAACAACACAAGACAGCTTTCTTCCTGACGACTATTGTCCAATACTCATAAAGTTACTTACCCCACTTGCTGTGTTCTTGAATTCATTAGGGGAAGAATTCTCACCACAATCAACATACCAGAGGTGACTAACTGGAGACCCACATCCTGTCTCCACTGAGTGAATCAGAAATAGATGCAGAACTAGGTTTCTGTTCAGGATGAGGATTTTGATTGTTTTTTTATCCTCTTCTTTATTGTAGCTACAATAATACTGATAATTCTGTGTGTTTATTATTCTAGGGGTTGAAACCAGGGGCATGGAATCACCAGTAAAAAAATATATATATATTGGTGAGTGAGTCTCATGGAGTTGCTTAGGGACATACTAAGTTGCACAGGTTGCCTTTGAACTCGAGATGCTCCTGTCTCAGACTCCCAAGCTTCTGGGAGTACAAGCATGTATCACTGCGCCCAGGCAATACTGACAGTTTACTCTCTGAATCGTGTAAGGTAATGTGGACAGCAGAGAGCTTTAATTGTGATGATGCTTCAGCACCTACACAACCAGGTTTCAGTATCAACATCTGGAGTTATTGACAATAGTTGCCCTCAGTGAGGATTTTATTACATGCTACTTAAAGCCACCCTCGATTGACATCAGGTCAGGGACACAACTCCTTTACTAAGGTCACACCAAAATAATTTTTCCTCTCCCTTGTCTAAACAGGCACTGGATATGTTTCTATCCCAAATTTGTTTGCAGAAGTGAGCACTTCCTCAAACCTCCCTCCTTACACACTCTGAGACAGAAACAGAAAACACTCACCATGTGCTTCTTGTGTGCAGGGTGCTGGGCTCAGTGTGAGGTCCTGGCAGCCAGCATGGAGGGAGGGAGGGAGCTGGGCCCTGAGATAAAGGTTTGTGCTCCTGTGACCTCACTTCCCCTCAGGGCTGCAATTATCACTTCACCTGGAGAGGCAATGACAGTGCAGGCCTGGGGAGCCCAGGACAAGGCTGAAAAACTTTCTCCACACTTGCTAATTAATAAGGCAATTATGAGTTCCTTGTTAGTAACTTCTAAATGAGTGTTGAGGAGTTTTTTGCTTTTCCCTGATCCCTGCAGGCTGACAGGGTCTTATATGGAAGATTCAGGAAATATTAAGGTGTGTCCATGGGGCCAAGTGTTTGTACATCTTATTGGACTTCAGAATTCCCTGGGTTCTTCTGCGTCCAATCTTGTTAATTATTAATATTCAGATATTTGAGAACTCTCTGTTTTTTTAAGTGTATTTACTCAATGCTATAAATTTTCCTCCTAGAATCCCTTTCATACTGGCCCATAGATTGATATATGGTATCTCTGTTCTCACTTGTTTCTAAGAATGTCTTGATTTTATCCTATCATATATTCTATGATCCATTCTTTATTAAAGGTGTATGGTTCAATCTCATGTATCTTTTTTTTT